TTTTTTTGAGACAGAGTCTTGCTCTGTCACCCAGGCTGGATGGAGTGCAGTGGTACAATCTCAGCTCACTGCAATCTCTGCCTCCCGGGTTCAAGCGATTCTCCTGCCTCAGCCTCCTGAGTAGCTGGGACTATAGGTGCGTGCCACCATGCCTGGCTAATTTTTGTATTTCTAATAGAGACAGGGTTTCGCCATGTTGGCCAGGCTGGTCTCGAACTCCTGACCTCAGATGATCCGCCTCGGCCTCCCAAAGTGCTGGGATTACAGGCATGAGCCACCACGCCGAACCGCTTCACTTCTTAAAGGTGGAATTGACTATATACATAGTGACTGCTTGCTTCCTGTTTCCCAGCCAGGTCAGCAATCCTCTGCTCATTGGCCATGGGGCTCTGTCTACTCTGGGGTTGCTGCTGTTGGACTTGGCTGGGGCTGTCCAGAGAACTGAGGATGCAGGACTGGAGCTGGTAGGTGAAGAGGTCAGGTGAAATTCTGGGAGATGTTTCCTGATACTCCAGAATGCAGGTAACCTCTTCCTTCTTACACCTGACCCCCCAATTTGTCTTTGCAGCTGGCATGCCCCGTGCTTCGATGTCTAAGCAACCTGCTAACTGAGGCAGCAGTGGAGACTGTGGGAGGGCAAATGCAGCTCAGAGATGAGCGTGTTGTGGCAGCCTTATTTATCCTTCTGCAGTTCTTTTTCCAGAAACAGCCCAGTCTACTCCCTGAGGGCCTCTGGCTCCTCAACAACCTCACTGGTACGCACCATAGTCTGCCCAGGCCTGGACATTTGGATAATGGGGATATTTCCTCATGGCCTAGGCTGAGGTGGGTAGTATTGGCAGGGGTGGTGGGGGAAAGCAGTTTTTCACCCTGGTACTTCTCTTCCAGCAAACAGTCCTAGTTTCTGTACCTCCTTGCTCTCCCTGGATCTGATTGAGCCCCTCTTGCAGCTGTTGCCAGTATCCAATGTGGTGAGCGTAATGGTATGTATTGGGGTCACTTGAATCCAAGATCTGGTAGTCGGATTGTAGGGGACAGCAGTTCTGAGCCCTCAGATGTACCCTTAGTTGAGAGCCAGCAGGTGGTGGTGTGTGGCCTCAGGGCCCAACCAGTCTAGGTATGTGTCCCTTAAACTGGATTATTTATCCTTGGACAAATCACCTAACCACCTTAAGCTTCAGCCTCCTCACTTATAATTGAGGATAATCTTGCATCATAGGGTAGTTGTAGGAGTATGAGAACATGCATGTAGAAGAGCTTGGCATGGTGCCTGGGCATGTGGCCACCATGTCATATATTTTAGCTATTATGATCTTTGTTTCATTCTTTGTAGACTATATATGTATCTATCTGCAGGTGCTCACAGTTTTGTGCAATGTTGCAGAGAAGGGTCCTGCTTACTGCCAGCGGCTGTGGCCAGGGCCCCTGCTTCCCGCCTTGCTGCACACACTAGCCTTTTCTGACACTGAAGTAGTAGGCCAGAGTTTGGAGCTGCTGCATCTGCTGTTCCTGTATCAGCCAGAGGTATAGGTTTCTGGCCCACATCCTCAGTCACCCCTGTTCTGAAGCCACACAGTAGCTCCCTTCCAGTCCAGTCCTAACTATAGTTCTCTGGGCCTGGCTAACCTATATAGGTTCCATGTCAGAACCTTCATCCTTTTGTGGGGGAATGCACCCTCTAAAGTGGGCTGACCCATGAGGCTGTGGGAATTGAGTCTTAGGACACAGATGAGGTATGCTGAATTTTCTTCCCTGCCCCTAGGCTGTTCAAGTCTTCCTGCAGCAGTCAGGGCTGCAGGCCCTGGAAAGGCATCAGGAAGAGGCCCAGCTCCAGGATCGTGTGTGTGCTCTCCGGCAGACAGCTCTTCAAGGGTGATCTCGTTTCTCAATGTCACTCATTCCCCTCTCTCTTAACATCCAGCTTCTTTGTCCAGTAGAGCCTTTGGAGACAGCAGAGCCTTTGGAGATTTAGGACCATAATGATGTTTCATGTTCTCTGCTCCCATACCTAAGCCAAGACCTTTGGGTCCCAGCCCCTCCTCTTTCACTCAGCACTATCTAGGCAGGAGGACCAAAAGGGACTCAGTTTGGTCTACTTATTCTGGGGCCCTAGAATCCCTGCCCCCCACCCTTCATTTTTGCTTCAGCAGCTGGTAGCTTTTGATGAGTCAGAATAAAGTTTTATTTTTATATTAAGCTACTTTGCCTCAGTGGTTACACAGTAAGGGGTAGAGGGTAGATGAGGACAAGAACACCCTGAGAAAGTATTTTACAGCACAAGTTTTATGAGGAATAGGGGAACACATTTTTTTCACATTATACTAAGTCCAGCAGAGCCCAGGCTCTGGGGCTGTTGCTCTTAATCCTCAGTGGAGGCTTCAGGCTTTACCACTTAGCACGTTCTCCAGGGCTCTGGTTACCTGATCAGCACTGAAGTTGTTCAAAGGGACATTCTTCTCTTGGCCAAATGCTGAGGAGAAAGAGGGAGGTGTCTTTATTTATTCTACACTGTGGAGGCCACTGAAGTAAAATAAAAGATCTTGTCTTTATCTTACAGTTTTGTTAAGATGGGAAGAGTATTAAAGAGATATGATCAAAATATATTTGGTATGCCTAGAATTAATACAATAGGTCTCAAACACATCTAGGAAGCCCAAGTCCAAATAGAATTTTGGCTGATTCTGGATGGCCACAATGGGTTGTTTCAGGGAAGCTTTCAGGGATACTGTAGGCATTTATTACTAACTACTGTGAGCAATGTATTGATGCAATACCTTGGCTAGGTGCCCTTTTTTTTTTTTTTTTTTTTTTGAGATGGAGTCTCGCTCTGTCACTCAGGCGAGAGTGTAGGGGCGCGATCTCCACTCACTGCAACCTCCACCTCCTGGGTTCAAGCAATTCTCCTGCCTCAGCCTCCTGAGTAGCTGGGATTACAGGCACCCGCCACCACGCCCGGCTAATTTTTGTATTTTTAATAGAGACGGGGTTTTACCATATTGGCCAGGCTGGTCTCGAACTCCTGACCTCAGGTGATTCACCTGCTTCAGCCTCCCAGAGTGCTGGGATTACAGGCATGAGCCACCGCGCCCGGCTGGGTACCCATTCTCTAGGCTCCCATAGGCTATCTAACATAATACCCAGCACAATACACCAAAGTTACTCGTGTCTCTCTCCTCCTGTAGTCTACTGGCTTTTGGAAGGAGAAGCTTTTTTCCTCCTCCAATGATTAGTGCATGTCTAATGTCTACTGTGTCTCACAGATGTCTACTGTGAGAACCAATCTGCTTAAGGTGGTCACTCTCCTCCACCTCCTCCTGACATTCCCAGGGCACCATATAGTTAAAAGCTGTGATTAAAATCCTGTTATTCAGTATGTATAAATATTTATTGTATACCTACAATGTGTTAGGCAACATAATAGGAAAATTTCATTTTGCAATACACTGCCATGCCAGTCTTAGAGGGGTAAGTGCATTCTAGGAAAGGGGAACAAATGTAAAGGCTCAAGCCTGTTATACCCTAGCTGCAACACTTTAGATATGTTCCACAAAGTTTTGATTCCATTTTCTAATCTCTACAATGAGAAAAGAAGAACACGCTTCCTCCTAACTAATGAAGGTTAAATGAGTTAGGCAGGGAAGCACTCGGCACAGGACCCAGCTCTGCGTGCTCCAAATTACTGAGATTCTCACATACTACCTGGACTGACACTGGCTACACGTTATTTGGAGAAACTATACTGACTAGCTTCTCTCCTATCTGAAGCCCATTCTTAATTACAAAAACGTCAGTTCCTGATCCCTACGCAGAATTCGGTCAGCCTCCATATTTACGTTGTCCCAATTACAACGCATCATATAACCCTGCGAATATAAATCTATTCATGGAAACAAGATCAACAGCAAGGCTAAAGTCCGAGTTCCAGTTTCTCCACGGGTTTCTGCATGACCTTGGGCAGTCCCTTCTCAAACCCTTGTTCCTCTACCGGAGCCCCAGGCTCCTGGCGTCCCGCACTTACCGTAGCGGGCCCAGAGCTTGGGCTGCACATCGGAGCATTCGCGGATTAGGATGGGTAGGTCGGGATTCGCCTTCTTTAGCTCCACATAGCGTTTCTCAATGAAGTCCCTGCGGGGCCGGAGAGAGCGCCGCGCGTGCTGTGGGCGCCGGCTTCCCTCAACTTCAGGGAGGTCGAGGTCGTGACCCCGGCGTCCCGAAGCCCGCCCGCCTCACCACGCCGCGCCTCACCTGACGCCCTGGCTGCCGGGCGAGCGCTGACATAAGTGGATGCGAATCTCACGCAGGCCCAGCTTTGCCCCGATTGCTCGACTCGCTGCGGCCGCCGCCATCTTGGCTAATACCGAAGTCCCCAGTTCCAGGTCTTCGGGCCAAGTTCTTCGGTCTGACCAATCGCGGACCCTTCAGCCTAGGCCTTGGGCCAGATGACGCAGGGGCGGAGTAAAGCTTGGCCAATGATATAAAAGTATTGTAGGACCTCTGCGAGGTCAATTTCTTTGCGCTCGGGGTTGGTCAGAGGGAAAAACAGGAAGCGGAAAGGCTACGAACGCAAAGCAGTGTGGGTTGATTCTGAGGTGCACTGTGGGAAAGGGCTTGTCCCTGCGGTGTTGCTGTTGGAGACTTGATTGTTGGTGACAGCGAAACAACGATAACAAAATGCCAGAGCGAGATAGTAAGGCTCAGGCCATCCTTTATTTCTTCCCCATGGCACTTGGGGCATTTGGCGCATTATTGTAGCTTCTGAGCTTAAACCGGGTGTGTGTGTGTGTATGTGTGACGCTTGAGCCCGGCGAAGCCGTAGGGTCGTAGATGAAGCCGACGGCTCCGAACTCCGGCCCCAGTCCTCATTCCTACTCCAAGTGATGATGGGCAGCTTTTGTCTGTGGATCGCTTTCCCCCAGTATTGTCCCCATACTTAATCTGGGTTGCGCGTATTCATCTTTTACGTAGTATTTTAGACGTGATTTTCCGGAAGTCTCTGATCTTCCAGCGCAGGATTAGGGTCCTTTGCTTTGTGCTCCCACAGCTTCTTGTAGTTTCCCATTTCAGCACTTATTACATTGTGTTGACACTGCCGCTGTTCTTCCTTTTGTTCTGTATTGTTCACTATTATATCTCAAATTTTTGCATAGGAACTGACACATAAGAGCCTGATTAAATTAACGTCAATTCTTTTTGTCAGGTGAGCCGTTCTCCAACCCTTTGGCGCCCGATGGCCACGATGTGGATGATCCTCACTCCTTCCACCAGTGAGTATTTTGTGCTAGGACCATGGAAATGAGTTGGGCGATGAATAGAGAGGTGGTGGTGATGGTCAAAGAATTCTGAATGTCTTGTCATCAAGGATGGTCAAAAATTATACCCGCTGGCCCTTTATCTCTGTGAGCCTTAATTGGATCAGGCCAAGTGCATAAGGGTATTAGAAGGGAAATTCCTGCAGGAAAGGGGTTAAATTTTTTGTTTTTTTTTAAAAATACGTGTTGTGTAATTACACATTATATAGGAATTACTTCTTCCGATAGAAAATTAAAACATAGGAAATAAGGGTAAAATCTTTTTTTGTTTTTTTTTGAGACTGAGTTTCGCTCTTGTTGCTCAGGCTGGAATGCAATGGCGCGATCTCAGCTCACCACAACCTCCGCCTCCCAGGTTCAAGCAATTCTCCTGCCTTAGCCTCCCGAGTAGCTGGGATTATAGGCATGTTCCACCACGCCCGGCTAATTTTGTATTTTTAGTAGAGATGGGGTTTCTCCATGTTGATCAGGCTGGTCTTGAAATCCCGACCTCAGGTGATCCATCTGCCTCTGCCTCCCAAAGTGGTGGGATTACAGGCATGAGCCACTGTGCCCGGCCCATCTTTGATAACATCCCCAATTCATGTTTGGTAAAATCATCTTTGATAACGTCCCTTATTCCAGTCCATTTTTTTTTTTTTTTTTTTTGAGACGGAGTCTCACTCTATTGCCCAGGCTGGAGTGGAGTGATGCAGTCTCGGCTCACTGCAACCTCCGCCTTCTGAGTTCAAGTGATTCTCCTGCCTCAGCCTCCCAAGTAGCTGGGACTACAGGCATATGCCACCACACACTGATTCTTCTTTTTTTTTTTTTTGTATTTTTAGTAGAGACAGGGTTTCACTATGTTCGTCAGGCTGGTCTTGAACTCCTGGCCTGAAGTGATCCACCCGCCTCGGTCTCCCAAAGTGCTGGGATTGCAGGCATGAGCCACCATGCCCAGCCTCAGTCCTTTTCTTAGAAGTAACCACAGTTACCTTTTTTTGTGTATCTTTTCCTCCTGTTGCCCAGACTGAAGTTCAATGGCACTATTTCTGCTCACTGCAACCTTTGCCTCCCGGGCTCAGGCAGTTCTGCCTCAGTTTCCCCAGAAGCTGGGATTACAGGTGTGCACCACCATGCTTGGCTAATTTTTGTCTTATTAGTAGAGACAGGGTTTCGCCATGTTGGCCAGGCTGGTCTCGAACTCCTGACCTCAAATGATCTGCCTGCCTCAGCCGCCCAAAGTGCTGGGATTACAGGCGTGAGCCACCGCGCCTGACCCTCCTACTCTTTTTTTAAATGCATTTATATGCATACATGCATATCTGAGGAAAACACAACATTGCTTTGTGATTTAAAATATTTGAGTTAAATGATACTAGGCGTAGGCGGTATATATCATTTTTGCAACTTGCTTCTTTTTAAACCCTGCTCAGTGTTTCTGAGATTATCTTTTATAGCAGTGACAAGCATTCTGTCTTGGCTAAACTTTAGTCAGGTTCCCCAAAGAGTCCTATTTTTCAGCGGGATTCATCCTTGGCCTGCTGAGCACAGTTTTATCAAGGAAATAAACCCCTGCTCCACCCCCATACCTAACCAAGTTGCTTTTAGTAATTTTCTATAAATTCTCACTTGTCCCTGTTGTATTTGGAATTAAGTTCAGTCTCTATTACAATGATCTTGACTCCTGTTACAATAGTCTTCAATAAAGTCTTCCTTGAGGGGAAGAGGAACTTGCTTAGATATCAAGGGTGGGAGAAGAGGAGCTGAGTTGGATATCAAAAGTGGGAAAACTTTCTGTGAACTGACTTAAATTCCTTTTTAAAACCGAGGTCAGCAGGCCAAGGAAGAGCCCTAGTCAGAAGAGAGCTTCAAAGGAGTCTAACTTTAATTTGATCAAGAGAGGAGTCAGTCTTTGTCAGTGTACCAATTAAAATAATCTCTTGTACCATTAGTGCTGTCTTTCCCTCTTTGGGAAACACCATCATGGTTTAGTTAGTCTCCAGCTAATAAACACTTAGTCTGTTTCAGACTGGTTCTTTTCTTTTTTTTATTTTTTTGAGACAGAGTCTTGCTGTTTTTGCCCAGGCTGGAGTGTAATACCTTGATCTTGGCTCACTGCAACCTCCGCCTCCCAGGTTCAAGTGATTCTCCTGCCTCAGTCTCCCGAGTAGCTAGGATTACAGGCGCCCACCACCATGCCCAGCTAATTTTTTTGTATTTTTAGTAGAGACGGGGTTTCACCGTATTGGCCATGCTGGTCTCGAACTCCTGACCTCGGGTGATCCTCCCGCCTCAGACTCCCAAAGTGCGGGGATTATAGGCGTGAGCCACTGCACCCGGCCAGACTGATTATTTTCAAGGCTGTAGTTGAATTTCCTTTACAGGCCTTCTTATATACATATGTCAGTAATTGGCCTGGCTAAATATAAATAAATGGAGTTGCTGACTCGTAGGAGATATATTCTTAAATTTTAACAAATACTGCGAAATTGCCCTCCAAATTGGTTATACTGGTTTACATTCTCATCAGCATTATATGAGAGTATCCCCCTCCCAAATTCTCACTCACACTTGATTTATCAAACTTTTTAGTAGTTAACACTCTGATGCATTAAAAGTGGCATATCTGGTCGGGCGCGATGGCTCACACCTATAATCCCAGCACTTTGGGAGGCCGAGGTGGGCAGATCACCTGAGGTCAGGAGTTTGAGACCAGCCTGGCCAACATGGTGAAACCCCACCTCTAATAAAAATACAAAAATTAGCTGGGTGTGTTGGCAGGCACCTGTAATCCCAGCTACTTGTGAGGCTGAGGCAGGAGAATCACTTGAACCAGGAGGCAGAGGTTGTAGTGGGCTAAGATCATGCCACTGCACTCCAGCCAGGGCAGCAGAGGGAGACTCTGTCTTAAAAAAAAAAAAAAAAAAAGCTGGGTGCTGTGGCTCATCCCTATAATCCCAGCACTTTGGGAGGCCAAGGTGGGCGGATCATAAGGTCAGGAGTTCAAGACCAGCCTGGCCAATATGGGTGACAGAGCGAGACTCCATCTCAAAAAAAAAAGTGTCATATCTTTGTTTTGATTTGTATTTCTCTGATTTCTGTTAATTTAATCATGATTTTTACGTGTTCCTTTTTCATTTCTTACTGAGTCCTAATATTTAAAATCTTTGCCTTTCCTTCTAGATCAAAACTCACCAATGAAGACTTCAGGAAACTTCTCATGACCCCCAGGGCTGCACCTACCTCTGCACCACCTTCTAAGTCACGTCACCATGAGTAAGTCTTTCCGTGATCCAGCCTGTCTCCCAGCCTTTTTCTTGCTCCTTCCTATTTCTTTCTACTGAAGTAGAATGACTTTTAATAGTCCCTCAGGTATTTATGCTGCTCTCTAAAGTTTGAGAACTGCCCACCTACAAATACTGATATGGATTTCTGCTTGATTGAAACTGTTACTTTGGTCAGTATTCTAAGTCTTTCTAAAAATCCTCAAGGAGACTTCTTGGGGTTTCTGGGGCTGTGGCAATATTTTGCTATCAGTGAATTTCTCGTCTGTTCTAGGATGCCAAGGGAGTACAATGAGGATGAAGACCCAGCTGCACGAAGGAGGAAAAAGAAAAGGTGAAGAAAGGGTGAAAGGTTTTAGATTTTAGGATAGACAGTGTTTAGGGGAAAGAAGTAGGGGCTAATTGTGAGGCCAGAAACTAAGATTTTGTCTTGAGGCTCTCTATTTTCTTAATGAAGCATAGTGATACTTAGAGGGCAATAGAGGGCTTTGGAATAGGCCTATCTATATTTTAATCTCATCTTCACTAGTTTCTTGGTGGATAACCTAGGCATTTGCTTAGCCTCTCTAATCCATGGATAGAATGGAGATATAGTAGCAATAATAACTTTTATCAGGATGTCATGAGGATCAGCTGTGAAAGTACATGTAGGCATTTAGCACCAATGCCTGGCATATGGTAACCACCCAATAAATCTTGACTGCCATCATCATCATTATATCATCATCGTTATTTACGTGATACAAAAGTTTCTGGACTTGGTACTTGGCTTTTCCTTTATTCTGAGGGTGGACCAGCAAATAATGCGTTCTTTTCAGCTGAAATTAGAAGGTGGTAAAAATTCAGAAGATTTTCTGATTTTTGTGTGGAAAAGTCTTATATCTGTAGAGAATTAGTAGAGTTGGGTGGTATTAAAAAGTTCTGAAGTGACAGATGGGATGTCCCAAGTTGCCACTGGAAAAGTATATAAACTGGAAGAAGGCATAGTTCTGATTTTTGAGTAACTATGAAGAGGTGGCCAGCAGTTCTATCAGGACAGACATGAGCTTTTCTCCATAGACAGTAGGATGGAGATGTAGGGAAGCAAGCAGGAACAGTTCTGTTGACCTTGAGGTAGCAGCTGATGAACTTTACACATTTGCCTTTCTCTGGTCACAGTTATTATGCCAAGCTACGCCAACAAGAAATTGAGAGAGAGAGAGAGCTAGC